CCCGTCTCTACTAAAAATACAAAAAAAATGCCGGTGCGCGCGCGTCCAGGGGGGTAGGTGGGCGGGCGCCTGTAGCCAGTGACTCAAGGAGGCTAGGCAGGGAGGGGAGAATGGCGGGGCGGCGTGAACCCAGGAGTCGGAGCTTGCCAGTCCTGAGCGAGGGATCGCGCGGCCACTGCACTCCAACCTGGGCCGAGCAGGCGTGACGACTCCGTCTCAAAAAAACAAACAAACAAAAAAAAAAATGTAAAAAAGTAGCCATGGTGCGTGGCATCATGACCTGTATCCCAAGTAGTTCAGGAGGTGAAAAAAAAAAAAAAGAAAAAAGATTCAATTTTATGTACTGATAACAGAAAGCTCTCCAAGATGTAATAAGCGGGGAAAAATGAGCCAGACTCAAATAAAAACACAAAGAGCATATAGAAATATGCAAAATGTAGATAAATGATGTTTTGAGATTGGCAAAATTCACAGCAGATGTAAATAAATCATATTGAGGACAATGATGTATAGGTGTTATTTTATTTATTTTTTTTTTGAGATGGAGTCTCGCTCTGTTACCCAGGCTGGAGTGCAGTGGCACGAACTCCGCTCAACGCAACCTCTGCCTCCCGGATTCAAGCGATTCTCCTGTCTCACCTTCCCGACTAGCTGGGACTACAGGCACACGCCACCATATCCGGCTACTTTTTGTATTTAGTAGAGATGGGGTTTCACCATGTTGGCCAGGCTGGTCTCAAACTCCTGTCCTCAGGTGATGTACCCACTTTGGCTTCCCACAGTGCTGGGATTACAGGTGTGAGCCACTGCGCCCAGCCAAGATTATTATTATTATTATTATTTTTTGAGACAAAGTATTGCTCGGTCTCCCAAGCTGGAGCTCACTGGCGCTATCTGGGCTCACTGCAACCTCTGCTTCCCAGGTTCAAGCGATTCTCCTATCTCAGCCTCCTGAGTAGCTGCGATTATAGGTGCGTGCCATCACACCCAGCTAAGTTTTATATTTTTAGTAGGGATGGGGTTTCGCCATGTTGGCCAGGCTGGTCTTGAACTCCTGACCTCAGGTGATTTGCCCGCCTCGGCCTCCCACAATGCTGGGATTATAGGCATGAGCCACCGCGCCCAGCCCATTATTTTTAAAAATAAAAATTATCACTTACTAAACATATTCTGCCTGATAGTTTTTTTTAATTTTAATTTTTTTATTGAGACAGGGTCCTACTCTGTTGCCCTGGAGTGCAGTGTTGTCATCATGGCTCACTGAAGCCTTGACCTTCCAGGATCAAGCAATTCTGCCTCAGCCTCCCTAAGTAGCTAGAACTACAGGTGCATGCCACTACACTTGGCGAATGTGCTTAATAATTTATAAAGCACATTTATGTCTGTTTTTTCAACTGGTACTTAACCTTGTTGGCTAGACAGGACAGATTATTCTCAATACTCCTCCCTACCCATTTTTAAATCTAAGAGACAGCCGTTACACAAACAATGAGTAACTGGGATAGGATCCACACCTGGACCTCTTTCCTACAAAGTCTGCAAGCTTCCATGTTAACCTGCAGCCCCCTCGACCTTTTTGGTAGAGACCAAGTTTCACCATGTTGGCCAGGCTGGTCTCAAACTCCCGACTTCAGGTGATCCGCCTGCCTCGGCCTCCCAAAGTGCTGGGATTACAAGTGTAAGCCACTATGCCCGGCCAAAACCCCAAACCTTTTATTTAAAAGGATATTCAGAGGCCAGGCATGGTGGTTCACACCTGTAATCCCAGCACTTTGGGAGGCCGAGGTGGGTGGATCATGAGGTCAGGAGTTCAAGACCAGTCTGGCCAGTATGGTGAAACCCCATCTCCACTTAAAATACAAAAATTAGCTGGGCGTGGTGGCGCGTGCCTGTAGTCCCAGCTGCTCGGGAGGCTGAGGTAGGAGAACTGCTTTAACCCGGGAGGTGGAGATTGTGGTGAGCCAAGATCGCACCACTGCACTCCACCCTGGGCAACAGAGCGAGAGTCCGTCTCAAAAAAAAAAAAAAAAAAAAAGGATATTCAAGTTGGGCATGGTGGCTCATGCCTACAATCTCAATGGTTTGGGAGGCTGAGGCAGGACGATCCCTTGCGCCCAGGAGTTCGAAACCAGCTAGATAATATAGTGAGACTCTGTCTACAAAAAACAAAAAATTTAGCCGAGTGTGGTGGCATTACCTGTAGTTCCAGCTATTCAGGAGGCTGAAGTGGGAGGATCCCTTGAGTCCAGGAGTTTGAAGCTACAGGGAGTTATGATTGCATCACTGCACTCTAGACTAGGTGAGAGTGAGACCTAGTCTCTAAAAAAATAAAATAAAATAAAAATAAAATGATGTTCATATTACCTGTTTGGGGAGGGTCTTGCCTCCATCGATACATATAACTTCTTGCTCTGCTGAGACACCTGCTAGTTGCTCTGCCAAGTCATTTCCAGAAATGATAGGATAGGTAAAATACAAAGTAAGATATGTCAGGTATTAGAAGCTAGCAGGAGACAGCCTGACTCACTAGTTTCCCATTTCTAATTGACAGTGTTCCTGCAAAAGGGATAACAATTTCCCCAGGTCCATCAGTGAATTTACTTTTAAAAATTTAGTTTGAATATTCTCAAACATACATAAAAATAGACAGAACAGTACAGTTAAGCCACAAGTACCCATCACTCAATTTAAAAAATAATCAATATTTTGCCAATCTTGTTCCACCTAAGCCCCCATTCCATTATTTTCTTTTGGTTGGAATCCTTAACAAACCTTAAAATGTCATTATACTTGCAAAAACTTCTGCAACACTGACAAGAATTTTTTTTCTTTTTTGACATGAACACTGTGTAATTATTATACCTAACAATATTAACAATAATCCTCCAATACCACTGAATACCCAGGCATCCAGTTCATATTCAAAATTTCCTAACAGTTTTCTCCTGCCTCAGCCTCCTGAGTAGCTGGGACTACAGATGCACGCTGCCAGGCCCAGCTAATTTTTTGTATTTTTAGTAGAGACAGGGTTTCACCATGTTAGCCAGGATGGTCTCGATCTCCTGACCTTGTGATCCGCCCGCCCTGGCCTCCCAAAAAATTTCCCGATAGTTTTAAAGCTGCTCTCTACAGATTTATTGCAATCAGAATCCAAAAAAGGTCTCCATGATGAGCTTGTGATGTCTCTTAAGTCTTTTTCATTTTATTACAATTCCCTCTCATCCATTTTTTCCCCTCTGTCGTTCATTTGTCAGGTCATTTGTCTTATGAAAAGTCCTACACAACCTGGATTTGGCTGATTGCTTCTTCATGAAATTGTTTAACTTTTATATACAATAAATTGAGCATTGTGCAACCATCACCATAACCCAATTTAAAATATTTCTATCAGCCCACAAAGATCCTTTATGCCCATTTAGAGTCACTTCACATTTGCACCTGCAGCCCCAGGCAACCACTAATATTGTCTCTGTAGATCTGCCTTTTCTGGACATTTTACGTAAGTGGAATCATAAACTATGTTGGTTTGCTGTTATATAAAACATTAAAAATTGTCCACACGGATTTGAGATATTCTCTTCACAATATGTTAAATTTCCATATACATTCAGGTCTAGAAAGATGTTCCATTTGTAGACTGTTCTACATTTTTAATTTAAATGATTACATCTCTGAGGTATTATCTTGTTCCTCCACCCCTTTTTCTACAAACTATGCAAACTGGTTGTTAGAAAAGAGTCTTGAGCAGATTCAGGGTTTTTTTTTTTTTGGCATTGGGTGTGTGTGTGTGTGTGTGTGTGTGTGTGTGTGTGTGTGTGTGTGTGTGTGTGTGTGTACAGTATTCCTAAGTGGCATGAGTATTTCTGATTGCAGCACATTAAGAGGCACATATGGTCTTGCTATCCTATTTTTTTGAGATGCTAAGATTGACCAACGGGTTCAGGTGGTATCATCCTGGTCCCTGTATTAAAAAGAATCCCATCAACCCCGCAACCTAATGGTTTTAGGATCCACTGATGATCTTTGCCTAGACATATAATTTCATTAGGAGTCACAAAATGATGACTTTTCTATCGTTCCTGCTGCAATTAGCTGAAATTTTTCTATTAAAAAAACCTTCAGCCGGGCGCGGTGGCTCACACCTGTAATCCCAGCACTTTGGAAGTCCAAGGTGGGCGGATCACGAGGTCAGGAGATCGAGACCATCCTGGCGAACACGGTGAAACCCCATCTCTACTAAAAATACAAAAAAATTAGCCGGGCATGGTGGCGGGCGCCTGTAGTCCCAGTTTCTCAGGAGGCTGAGGCAGGAGAACGGCGTGAACCCGGGAGGCAACAGAATTTGCAGTGAGCGGAGATCACACCACTGCACTCCAGCCTGCGAGACAGAGCGAGACTCCGTCTCAAAAAGAACAAAAACAAAAACAAAAAAAAACAAACCTTCAAGCCTGGACAACATAGGGAGACCTCATAGCTACAAAAAAAATTATCCAGGTGTGGTGGCACACACATGTAGTCCTAGCTACTCAGGTGGCTGAGGATCGCTTTAGCCTGGGAGGTCAAGGCTACAGTGAGCTGTGAATAAAAAACAAAAAAACTCCCTTCATCAACTATCTGGTTGTCCGAAATACAGTTTATACAAGAAGGCAAAATATTAATATATTCCTGACCCTTTATTTACTAGTTTTTGGAGTAATTAGTTGGGGTTCTAACTTACCATAGTGATAAATGAGGTTTTGGAAAATTATATAAATATGAACTTAAAGATTTTCATTGATTTATTATATTTCAATTCATAATCCAAGAATATTCTTTCAGTAGGAAAATATACTGAATGAGCACCCTCTGGGGATCAGAACTTTTTTAACATAAGCAGGACATCTACTTTAGGGGTCTCTGCCTACGACTGTTAAATAAAGTTCCACTTGCATAACACATAACATTATACTAGGACTCCAAAGTGTTAGCCTAGACAGGGTGCTGAATTTACAAAACTTTTAAATAAAGAATCTAGGCCGGGTGCAGTAGCTCATGTCTGTAATCCCAGCACTCTGGGAGGCTGAGGCAGGTGGATCTCTTGAGCTCAGGAGTTTACGACCAGCTGGGGGAACATGGAAAAACCCTGTCTCTACAAAAAAATTTAAAAAATTAGCCAGGTGTGGTGGTGTGTGCCTGTAGTCCTAGTTAGTGGGGAGGCTGAGGTGGGAGGATGGCTTGAGCCCAAGAAGTGGAGGTTGCAGTAAGGTGAGATTGTTGTTGCTGCACTCCAGTTGTCATTGAGGGGACAGAGCCAGACCTTGCCTCAAAAAATTAAAAAAAAAAAAAAAAGAAAAAGAATTTACTTTCTCAGATGTCTAAAAAAGTGAAAGAGAATATAAAATGCCATTAAAAAGTGACTGACTCACTGGGTCACAAATTACATTAAGCTGTAAGTCAGATCAAATCCTCTCTATATAATTATGGCCAGTGAAGGCTCTACAAAACAGGAATCCACAACACTTAGGGGAGAAAAAGGAAAGTGTCAAAGCACAAATCTAGTTTCTAGCCTTCTGAAGTTTAAGCTTTGGGGATGTTAGCCTTGTGAGTCCAAACCTGGTAAAATACTGACCTTCTAAAATGACAGCTCCAGATTCCTCTGCCTGGTCAACAACCCCTCCATACTCTGCAGAGCTGTCACTGTCAGAATCAGAACTACTAGACACCTGCAAGTCTTCAGACACAGGATTCCTAGTCTCTGAATCATAAGTGGCAGCTGGCAAGTCAGGCTGGGTCCTGCTCACCTGAAAGTAAGCATCCAATGGTGCTCTCAACCTATGTACACAGAAAGACAACAGAATTACAGTACAATGAACTATCATCACAAAAACAATCTATAGTGATTTGAAGTAAATCCTATCACTTCAACCCATCTCCAAGCCATTAACTGCTGCCTTTGAAAGCTGAAGCAGGAATAGCAGATAAGGGGAGACTGGCCTCTTGGATATTATCTTTCACCACTCAACCACTGCTACATTAGCCCACACAGGAGCTTGATCCTTCTGTTAAAAGCCAATTCTATTTTACTGGCTATCTTGGCCATACTGTCAGTATCTTTAAAGGAGAAACTCAGCAATCTGTATGCTGGTATTAGGTAGCTGAAAAGGGAGGTGAGCAAGAAGAAAAAGGGCTTTGTTGCCCAAATATGGCCTCATGGGATTTTGCTATTGCAGCCACCTAGAGCAAGGTATTTTGGAGTACAGTACAGAGTCTGGCTTCTATAATTTCTTCCCCTCTCATTTTAGGACAGTATTTTTCTTTTAAAATTTAAATAATGTTAGTTTTAAGATAAAAAACATAAATGATAATATGGTATCAAAAAAAAAAACTTAGAATGATGAGAAGATCTGGGGCCAAATCTAATACTCCAAATCTATCTTGGCTGGCTGAGTTTAAAATAACCACTACTGTACCTCAGTTTCCCTGATTCCTGGAATAACAAAGCATACTCCAGCTTGAGCTGAGGAGTTTGAGGCCACTTATGTCACAGAATTAATGAAACTTTATATTTAGTAGAGATGGGGTCTTACCATGTTGGCCAAGCTGGTCTCGAACTCCTGACCTCAAATGATCCACCCACCTCGGCCTTCCAAAGTGCTAGGATTACAGGCGTAAGCCACCACACCCAGACAAACTAATGAAACTTTTTATACTATAGCCAGGCATAGTGGTATGCTCCTGTAGTTCCAGCTACTTGGGAGGCCAAGGTGGGAGGATGGTTTGGGCCTGGGAGATTGAGGCTGCAGTGAGCCACGACAGCGCCCATACTCCAGCCTGGTTGTCAGAGCGAGACTTGTCTTAAAACAAAAAAAAAAAAACCCCAGAAAAATGACATCCAAAAAACTTGGGAGGCTGAGGCAGGAGGATCACTTGAGCCTGAGAGATTGAGGCCACAGTGTGTGAGTTATGATTGTGCTACTGCACCCCTGCCTGGGTACAAGAGTGAGACTCCATCTTCAAAAAAAAATAAGAAGAAAAAATAAAAATTAAAAAAACAGCTGACCGTGGTGGCTCACGACTGTAATCCCAGCACTCCTGGAAGGCCAAAGCAGGACTGCTTGAGGCCAGAAGTTTGAGACCAGACTAGCCAACAAAGTGAGACACCATCTCTATTAAAAAAAAATTTTAAAACAAAAGGGCATTCTAAACTTTAAAATATGCCACCTCACTAATAATTACTAAGTATTACTGACAGGCGACCTACTGTAAGTTCTAATAATTGACATTAAATAAAATATTGATTATTACCCAGAAAAATTGTTGGGGACTGCTTACACAGAAAAATTTTGATTTCTAATAGTTTGGGTGCAATTTATTGATGAATGAGGGCTTTCTACTTAAAAAAAAAAAAAAAAAAAAAGATGACCGAATGCTAACTAGAACAAAATAAACACTACTTAGTGTCCAACTCAATAGACAGAAGATTTTTCGCCCTTTTAAAAAAAGAAATGTCAATAAATCGAAAGGAGAAATAGCAATCAGGTTGCTTTCTTTTTTGGAAACTGAGATATAATTAATATACTCCAAAATCCACAATTTAAAAGTGTACAATTCAGTGGGTTTTTTTTTTTTTTTAGCATAACCACAAGGTTATGTAATCATAATCATAACCATTATCTGGTTCCAAAACATTTTTGTTACACCTAAAAGGGACCCTGTACCCACAAGCAGTCATTTCCCCTCCTATTTGGTAGTCATGTCCTCTCCTTCATTCTTGATTTTAGTACTTTGAGTCTTCTCTATTTCTTGGTTGGTCTAGCTAAAAGTCTGTCAATTTTGTTGATCTTTTAGAAGAACCAACTTTTTGATTAGTTCATTTTCTCTCATTTTTCTATTCTCTATTTTATTTATTTATATGCTAATGTTTATTATTTTATTCTGCCTGCCTGTGTTGGGTTGTGTTTGTTCTTTTGATTATTTAGGAGTGTGTTATTTAATTTCCACATGTTTGGTATGCAAGAATCACACCCATGTAAGATGGTGAACTTAATCAGTAAATGTTGTGTATGTTGACTGCTCCAACGACCAGCCATTCCCCTCCCTCCCTCTCCTTGGGCTTCCCTATTCCCTGAGACAAAACAATACTGAAATTAGGCCAATTAGTAACCCTACAATGGCCTCAGTGTTCAATTAAGGGAAGAGTCACACATCTCTTACTTTAAATCACTAAGCTAAAGTGATTAAGCTTAGTGAGGAAGGCATGTCAAAAGCTGGGATAGGCCAGAAGCCAAGGCCTTTTGCACCAATAGCCAAGTGGTGAATGCAAAGGAAAAGTTCCTGAAGAAAATTAAGTGCTACAAGCAAGGCTGATAAGACAGACTTATTGCTGATACGGAGACAGTTTTAGTGGTCTGGATAGATCAAACCAGCCACAACATTCCCTTAAGCCAATCCCTAATCCAGAGCAAGGCCCCAACTCTCTTTAATTCTATGAAAGCTGAGAGAAGTGAGGAAGCTGCAGGTGAAAAGCTGGAAGAAAGCAGAGGCTGGTTCATAAGGTTTAAGGAAAGATACTGTCTTCATAAAATAAAAGTGCAAGCAGCAGCAGCAAGTGCTGACATAGAAACTGTACCAAGTTATCCAGAAGATCTAGCTAAGACAATTGATGAAAAGTGTGTACACTAAACAGATTCTCAGTGTAGAAGAAACAGCCTTCTATGGGAAGAAGATACCATGTAGGACTTCTGCAGCTAGAGAGAAGTCAACGCCTGGCTTCAAGGTTCAAAGGACAGGCTGACTCTCTTGTTTTTTTTTGTTTTTTTGAGACGGAGTCTGGCTCTGTCGCCCAGGCTGGAGTGCAGTGGCCGGATCTCAGCTCACTACAAGCCCCACCTCCCGGGTTCACGCCATTCTCCTGGCTCAGCCTCCTGAGTAGCTGGGACTACAGGCGCTTGCCACCACACCTGGCTAATTTTTTGTATTTTTAGTAGAGACGAGGTTTCACCATGTTAGCCAGGATGGTCTCCATCTCCTGACCCTGTGATCCGCCCACCTCGGCCTCCCGAAGTGCTGGCATTACAGGCGTGAGCCGCCACACCTGGCCTATGTCTGTGCTCTCTAAAAGGAACTACAAAGCCTGGATAACAGCTTATCTGTTTAGATGATTGTACACTAAACAGATTCTCAGTGTAGAAGAAACAGCCTTCTATGGGAAGAAGATACCATGTAGGACTTCTGCAGCTAGAGAGAAGTCAACGCCTGGCTTCAAGGTTCAAAGGACAGGCTGACTCTCTTGTTTTTTTTTGTTTTTTTGAGACGGAGTCTGGCTCTGTCGCCCAGGCTGGAGTGCAGTGGTGTGATCTTGGATCACTGCAAGCTCTGCCTCCCGGGTTCACGCCATTCTCCTGCCTCAGCCTCCTGAGTAGCTGGGACTACAGGCGCTTGCCACCACACCTGGCTAATTTTTTGTATTTTAGTAGAGACGAGGTTTCACCATGTTAGCCAGGATGGTCTCCATCTCCTGACCCTGTGATCCGCCCACCTCGGCCTCCCGAAGTGCTGGCATTACAGGCGTGAGCCGCCACACCTGGCCTATGTCTGTGCTCTCTAAAAGGAACTACAAAGCCTGGATAACAGCTTATCTGTTTAGATGATGTCTTACTGAGTATTCACTGAGTATTTTAAGCCCACTGTTGAAACCTACTATTCAGAAAAAAGGATTCCTTAAACATATTACTGCTCAGTGACAATGCACCCAGTAAACCAAGAGCTCTGAAGGTGATTCATGTTATTTTCATGTCTGTTAACGTAACATATTCTGCAGCCCAACTTTCAAGATTTTTTATTTAAGAAATAAGGCCGGGCACAGTGGCTCACACCTGTAATCTCAGTACTTTAATGAAACAACATCTCTACAAAAAAACAGAAAAAATTAGCTGGGTGTGGTGGTTTGTGCCTTTAGTATCAGCTACTCTGTAGGCTGAGGCAGAGGATTACCTGAGCCTGGGGAGGTTGAGGCTGCAGTGAGCCATGATTACACCACTGTACTCCAGCCTGGGCAACAGAGTGAGACCCTGTCTCACAAAAAAAAAAAGAAAGAAAGAAAGAAAAAAAAAGAAATATTTTGTTGTGACTCTTAGCTGTGGGAAAAAGCTTTTTTTATTTTTTATTTTTTTTTTTTAATTTCTTAAGATGATAGCTGCCAGTGATTCCTCTAATGGATCTGGACAAAGTAAATCGAAAACCTTGAAAGGATCCACCATTTTTTTTTTTGGAGACAGGGTCTGGCTCTGTCACTCAGGCTGGAGTGCAGTGGCACGATATTGACTCACTGGAACCTTTCACCTCAACCTCCTAAGTAGCTAGGACTACAGGCATACACCACCAAGCCCAGCTAATTTTTGTATTTTTTGTAGAGACAAGGTTTCAACATGTTGGCCAGGTGGGTCTTGAGCTCCTGAGCTCAAGCAATCTGCCCACTTCAGCCTCCCAAAGTGCTGGGATTACAGGCATGAGCTACTGCGCCTGGGGGATCCACCATCCTTGATGTCCCTAAGAACATTCATGATTCATGGGAGGAGACCAAAATATCAACATTAACAGAAATTTAGAAGAAGCTGATGTCAACTCTTACGGGTGACTTTGAGGGGCTCAATATTTTAGTTAAGGAAGTAACTGTAGATAGAAACAGCAAGAGAACTAGACTTAGAAGATGCGACTGAATTGATCTCATTCCTAGATTTTCCTTTCCCTCTTATTGGTTAGTTTATTGTTTATCCCACTGAATATCCATTACCTTAGGCAGGCCCCAGGGAAAATGATTTAGGCTTTTCACACTCTGCATTGCTCTGAGTCAAGAGTAGTCTTGCAAATGGGGTTTTCCAGAGAACCACCAACCAGGTCACATAAAGATAATTCTCTGGGAATGAGGCTTTGAAGGTGCTCCAATCCCTCTGGTGCCTGCCAGGCTGTTGGTTTTTACTATGATTACAGGCAGATGATTTTCACAACTACCAAGGAGCTGGAGAAGGGGACAAGAATAAGGAATGCCACAGAGCTCATTGAGATTTGACTGTTTTTCTTTAAACAGCTCTCCCTGGATTGCTGTAAGCATTCAGTCAGTTTCCCAAATTATGAAAAAGTTGATCCTGACAAATTCTGCCAGTTGTTTCACTACTTTTATGGAGATAATTCTCTGTGGTCCTTACTCTGCCATTTTCGCTGACATCACCCAGGTTTTCTTTTTCTTTTTTTTTTTGAGATGGAGTCTCGCTCCGTGACCCAGGCTGGAGTGTCGTGGCGCAATCTCGGCTCACTGCAACCTCCACCTCCTGCCTTGGTCTCCTGAGTAGCTGGGATTACAGGCACCCGCCACCACACCCGGCTAATTTTTGTATTTTTAGTAGAGACAGGGTTTCACCATGTTGGCCAGGCTGGTCTCGAACTCATGACCTCAGGTGATTTGCCCACCTCGGCCTCCCGAAGTGCTGCAATTACAGGTGTGAGCCACTGTGCCTAGCCAGGTTTTCTTTTTAAACGGTGCTAAGCAACTTTACCAACTCCATTTCTTGAGATTCTGAGGGAACAGCAGCTATAGCTACCATAAGACTAAACACATAAGGAAAGCATTTTATAAGAGGATTTAATCAAATACAAACTAGAGTTAGGCTGTTGACATGTATATCAAAAGAATTCTACATAGAACCCAGTAAAAAAGTGGTAAGACACTTAAAAAAAAATCACCCTTTAATACTGCTTTTATGTAGTAAAGAATTTCCAAAGTCAGGCAAGAACACAGGAAAGGAGAACTATGAAAACCAACAGGAAGCAGTGCTAGGGTTTCTCCTTGGGAGCACAGATTTAGAACCCAAGAAATCCTCCTCCTTTCCTGCACTTACCGTCTTTGAATTAAATATATTTTGCTCCTTCCTTACTCTCTGTAGTCCTAAACTCCATATGCTCCATGAAAACAATATTGTAATCTGTGTTCACCACAGATTACAATATATTCACCAATATATCTAGGGCAAAGTTTAGTCTCCCACACAGAGGAGTGTTATCAATATTTGATGAATGAGTGATGACCCCTGCAGCCAGAATGAAGCCGCCTCAAACAAATAAGAAGGGAGTTTGTGACCTCAGCTAAGCCTGTTGGGAAGAATAAGCTCACTATTAGCTTTCTGTAGCTTTGGCTTCTTGGCTGACTGTGAGTCAAAAGCTGTTCACCTTGGCCCAGGCTTTCAACACCTGGCCCAGGGACAGTCTGTCAGATGAGTAAATGTCAAACACCGCACTGAGAAATTCATCTCAAGAACTTCAGAAGTTATAGTGATTAGTCCTGGGAAAGCTCATACTTTAGGGAAAAAAGTTTTAATCACATTTATCTCGCTTCAGAACTGATGTTATTTCCATTGAACTGCACACTTTCTGACCTTTTAGGTTATTCCCTTTGTGGAGACAGATTATGGCTGCCAAATAGCTTGACTGACATCTTTCAACATCTAAATTCTGTATAACTCTTTCCCTGAGCAGATTCTGTAAGAAAAAAAAATTTTTTTAAGACAGAGTCATTCTTGTCACCCAGGCTAGATTACAAGATTTTGGCTCACTGCAACCTCCGCCTCCTAGGTCCAAGCAATTCTCATGCCTCAACCGCCCAAGTAGCTGGGACCACAGGTGTATGCCACCACATCCGGCTAATTTTTTGTATTTTTTTTTTTTTTTTTTTTGAGACGAAGTCTCGCGCTGTGTCACCCAGGCTGGAGTGCAGTGGCGCGATCTCAGCTCACTGCAAGCTCCGCCTCCCAGGTTCACGCCATTCTCCTGCCTCAGCCTTCAAAGCTGAACTACAGGTGTATGCCACCACATCCGGCTAATTTTTTGTATTTTTAGTAGAGACGGGGTTTCACCATGTTAGCCAGGATGGTCTCGATCTCCTGACCTCGTGATCCACCCGCCTCGGCCTCCCAAAGTGCTGGGATTACAGGCTTGAGCCACCGCGCCCGGCCTAATTTTTTGTATTTTTAGTAGAGATGGGGTTTCGCCATGTTGGCCTTGAACTCTTGGCCTAAAGGGATCTGACTGCCTTGGCCTCCCAAAGTTCTGGAATTACAGGCATGAGCCACCATGCCCAGCCACATCGAACAATTTTCTCACTAGAGTTTGGCTTCTGTGTGGCTCTCTAGTGATTCTATTTTTCTTTGTAAGTTGGCATCTGGTTTATAAGTGCCACCCTTATGTCAGTGTGCCTGACCAAGCAGAATCCACTGTGCCTCCCCCAACAAGAATGAGTGCATGGATAAACAAGACTGAGGACTACTGCAAGAGGCCTCCTGACAGTCAGTCAGTTCCTGAAGACACCACTCACAACTCTCAGCCATGGAAAGTTGGCTCATATTTACTATGGCACGGTCCCCAAATTACACCATAAGGTGCCTTCACCTATAACACCAATGTGTGAAATCTTACCCTGCCTTTATAACGTGAGTAATGACATCTTAAAATAACAGACTATAGGCCGGGCGCAGTGGCTCACGCCTGTAATCCCTGCACTTTGGGAGGCCGAGGCGGGCGGATCACGAGGTCAGGAGATGGAGACCATCCTGGCCAACATGGTGAAACCCCGTCTCTACTAAAAATACAGAAAAATTAGCCGGTTGCGGTGATGGGCGCCTGTAGTCCCAGCTATTCGGGAGGCTGAGGCAGGAGAATGGCGTGAACCCGGGAGGCGGAGCTTGCAGTGAGCGGAGATGGCGCCACTGCACTCCAGCCTGGGCAACAGAGTGAGACTCCGCCTCAAAATAAATAAATAAATGAATAAATAAATAAACAGACTATAGCCAGGCCTGCAGGCACACGCCTATAATCCCAGCTACTCAGGAGGCTGAGGCACAAGAATCGCTTGAACCCAGGAGCCAGAGGTCGTCGTGAGCTGAGGTAGAGCCATTGCACTCCAGTCTGAGTGACATAGCAAGACTCTTGTCTTAAAAACAAAACAAAAAAAACCCGCAGTAATATGCATTTGCAACTCTTGTCAACACAGAACTAGGCATCTGTCATCCTTGATGGGCACTACAGACACTGGAGCCACAGTCATGGCAAGCCCAACATTAAAATCAGCAGGATCCATGAAAAAGAATGCTGAATCCAGATTCAGAAGGCACAATTCCAATCCAGCCTTATCACAACCAAATCACAAATTATCCCATCGGCTTCCTCATTTGTAAAACATGAGTAATGGATGACCTAGCTACCACTTTTTAGTACCATCTCAGTATTTTCACAGTGTTAGAAAACATCGGCATGGTTGCGTATGCCTGTAGTCCCAGCTAATCAAGAGGCTGAGGTAGGAAGATCGCCTGAGCCTGGGGAGGTCGAGGCTGCAGTGAGCTGTGATTGCACCACTATACTCCAGCCTGGGCAGCACAGTGAGACCCTGTCTCAAAAATAATAATAATTAAAAGAAGAAGAAAGAGAAAACAAAGGGATTTGATCGAAGCTTCCTCCATCTGCCTGTGTAGAAAACAGGGCAGATCCAGGTTCCAATACCCATGCTAACTCCTCTATGCTATAGCTATGAGACCCTGAACAAAGCCTTCTCTCAGGGTACAAGTTGCCTTCATATACAAATTAGAAGTTGAATTATATTTCTAAACATATTGAAAACACTTAGAAGACCAAATGTGAAATAAAATACTTTAAGTAAAGTAAGAAGTTAAAAAAACAGACAGGTTTAATTAGTTGGGGGTGGTGCCATGTGTCTGTAATGCCAGCTACTCGGGAGGCTGAGGCAGGAGAATCCCTTGACTCTGGGAGATGGAGGTTGCAGTGAACCAAGATCGTGCCACTGTACTCCAGCCTGGGCTACAGAGTGAGACTCCGTCTCAAAACAAACAAACAAACAAAAAACAACAACAGACAGGGTACAGGCAATTGTTATTCTTCATAACAACCCTACTAAGACTTGACGGCTAAGCCCTTCAAGAGGCAAGTTCAAACCAAGACAATGAAAGAAAATTAATTAATTGTGCCTCTCGGTGGAATGCCAGTGAATAATGAATTTGGGTGAGTAGAGGAGATCTGCAAGTGAAGAAAGAATTTTTGGTGTACAAGACATAATCTGAAGAATAGCCAATCTCTACAAAGATTGCCAACAAACTACCACCTAGTTTTCAAGGCACAATCATTTAACTTATCCCCTCATTACTTTGTGAAGTAAGGCAAGCAATTTTACTTCCATCTGACTTATGAGGAACTGGGGGTCAGAAGTTATCTGACTTGCCAAAAGTCACACTGTCAGTCCTTGAATGGCAGAGCCTCAGTTTCATAATTCCTAGTACAGCAATGATCACAGACTTATCCATATATTGATTTACCTGGCACTGTCTGTCCTCTGAGACCCTCCAGCTCTTGCCCTCCGTGAAGCAGATACCCTCCTTCTTGTTCTCATTGGCCCTACACTGTGGTTTGAAGATGAAGGTCTCAGGAATTCCAGCATGCCATGAAGTCTCTGCAGTCCACTGATGAAGTTGGTCATTGAATGCAATGAAGATGCTCGGATGGTGTGATTAGCATCAGATGCCTGTCTATGTTGTTCTGAAGTTCTTGGATTGATGTTCTCCACATTGTCTTCTCCCAAGACCTCCACTTCTGTCAGGTCAATAGACAGTTGTGGAGCAGGCTGGAGTACGGGTGGTGTCACTTGGCTGCCAATCACTTCAGCAGGAGCTGGCTGGAAGATCAGTGGTCCCCCCTGGCTGCTGACCACATCAGCAGGAACAGGCTGGAGGAGGGCTGGTCCCCCTTGGCTGCTGGCCACATCAGCAGAAGCTGGCTGTTCTTCAGCATGATTTAACTGTACCTGAAGATCATATTCCATTGCTTCATGAGCCATCACTAGGGAAACAATTATTTGCAAAAAGTATTAATAAAATAGATAAAACATGCTATGTAGGTGACAGAATCATATTTAATCTTTCTGATTTTATGCTTAATATCATTCTTAGCAAGACTGAGGAGCTTCAAGAGAAGATTTTAACTATTTAAATTTTAAGTCAGAAGTGTTTGGTAATGGACTTTCTTCTCTATAACAAGCATTTATAACCAGTTTTCCAGTTTGCCCTTAGAAAATGTGAAGTCCTGTGATCACAGTAGTATCTTCCAAAATAGAAAGATCTATAAAGGGTAAACAGAGAAAGGACATTTTTTTCACTTACAAAATTAACTGAGTTACTAACTGAAAATGGAAATTTACCTGATTTTTCCAAAAAGGCTAAGCAAACTTTTTCCTATCCCTTTCATTATTTTTGTTTTCCATCTCTAATTCCATCATGTTCGCCTATTCAACAAATATTAAGCACCTATGTTCTTTTCATGTTTCCTATCTTTAATTCCATTACATCATTTTGAAAACTACCACCTAGCTTTTAAATTTAAAAAAAAAATTTTTTTTTTTGTTATATAGATGAAGGCTTCCTATGTTGCCCAAACTGGTCTTGAACGCCTGGCCTCACCTCCTCATGCACGAGGACAACAGGACTGAGCCACTGTGCCTCTCTACCACCTAGTTTTTAAAGTATATCAGTATAACTTATCCCCTCAATTACTTTGTGAAGTAAGGCACGTGCTTTTATTTTCATCTGACTTATGAGGAAATGTGGGTTCAATTAGTATTTATTAAGCACCTGTTATGCAGACAGACACCCTAGAGGCAAAAACAGGTAAGACACCATGTATCAGAGTTAACATTCTAGCAAGTAAGATGTCAATAAACGAATACATGAGAAATTATAGATTATGATGTTCGGGGTTGAGGAGACAAGGAGGACCAACTAAGACACAACTCTGAGGGAAGTAGTCTTTTAAAGAGTGAAAACTGGGCTGAGGCATGAAGGATTAAAAGAAACTTTCTCTGCAAAGAGCCAAGGAAGTTTCAGAAGGAAATCAGTGCATAGGTCCCTGATGAGCATGGGTTTGACTGATGAACAGGACACCATCATTAAAGGGCCCATGGGCCTTGGTAAGGAGTTTCTTCTGTGTTAGAGACAGGGTTTCACCGTATTAGCAGGATGGTCTCGATCCCCTTACCTGGTGATCTGCCTGCCTCGGCATCCCAAAGTGCTGGGATTATAGGTGTGAGCCACTGCGCCCGGCCAACAGTCAAGTTTCTTAAAATCACCAGAGCAGGCCTGGCGCGGCCTCCACAGGATGGAGAGTGGCGCAGTAGTGAAAATAAATGGGAAAGAAAGTCTGCAAACTGAACGATGTGAGATACTTTAAGTTTTAAACATTTTTTGTATAGATGGGGTTTCCCACGTTGCCCAGCCTGGTCTTGAACTCCTCAGCTCAAGCAACCCTCCTGCCTCAGCCTCCCAAAGTACTGGGATTACAGGAGTGAGCCACTGCAGCTGGCTAACTAAAAGCTTTTAATATGTTTCTAGGGTACAAAGACAGTCTCCCAAGAATTGTGTGTGTCACAACATAAGACCCAAGTTACTTGCGTAGATGTACTTAAGAGACATTAAGCAACTCAGCCTTCAGGAAGACAAAGGGTAGAAACAGACTAAAAAGAGCAGAATCTAAATGGCCGCCGCACTGTCTACTCCCATATGGTTATTTAAATTAAATAAAAATCAAGTTCGGCCAGGAGCTGGGGCTCATACCTATAATCCCAGCACTTCAGGAGGCTGAGGCAGGTAGCTTGAGACCAGGAGTTGGAGACCAGCCTGGGCAACATAGCAAAATCGCGTCTCTACAAAAAATACAACTAGTCGGGCGTGATGGTGTGCACCTGTGGTCCCAGCTACTCGGGAGGCTGAGACAGGAGAATCCCTTGAACCTGGAGGGTGGAGGTTACAGCGAGATTACACCACTGCACTCCAGCCCAGGAGACAGAGTAAAACTCTGTTTCAAAAGAAAGAAAGAAAGAAGTTCCTTTGTCATGCAGGACACATTTCAAGTGCTAGAAACCCACATAGGGCAGGTAGCTCCCATTCTGGACAGCAGAAATACAGAACATTTTCCTTGTCGCACGAAGTTCTATGGAACGGTGCAGTTCTGGAGCTGAAGCTTCTTAACCACTGTAGGCCAGTCGGAGGTGCCTAGAGCGAGAGACCATGGCCTGTGCACCCCAAACCTTGAGCATGTCACACAAATGCTGCTTTTTATGTGTGCTGTGAGTGTCGGGGTTTAAAACGTTAACCTCAGACTTGTCATCTTTATTATTCAGGTTTCAATCAATGCCCACAACAGGCAGGATGAAAGCCCCTCAATTAAAGGTTGAGAGGAGGTGGGCGGGGGAAGTCGGGCCAACCTCGGTTCAAATCTTTGCTCTGGCCAGCGCGGAGGGTCACGCCTGTGATCCCTGGATATTGGGATGCCCAGGCGGATGGATCGCTTACGCTCCGGTGTTCGAGACCAGCTTGGGCAACACAGTGAAATTCCCATTTCTACCGAAAAAGAAAAATAGAACAGGTCAGGTGCGGTGGCTCACACCTGTAATCCCAGCACTTTGGGAGGCCGAGGGCAGACCACTTGAAGTCGGAGTCCCAGACCAGCCTGGCCAATATGGTGAAACCTCGTCTCCACTAAAAATGCAAAAATCACCCAGGTGTGGTGGCGCATTCCTGTAATTCCAGCTACTTGGGGGGCTGAGGCAGGAGAATCGCTTGAACCCGGGAGGCAGAGGTTACAGTCAGCTGAGACCGGGCCATTGCACTCCAGCATGGGCGACAGAATGAGACTCCGTCTCAAAAAAAAAAAAAAAAAAGAAAAAGAAAAAAAAGAAAACAAGAAAACAATGAGCCGGGCGTGGTGGTGAGCAGCTGTGGTCCCAGCTATTGTGGGAAGCAGAGGTGGGAGGATCCCTGGGGCCCGGGAGTTCGAGACTGCAGTCAGCTCTTCCAGCCTGGGTGCAACAGGGAGACTTCGTTTCGCTTCCTAGGTTTTTTTTTTTTTTTAGACGGAGTTTCACTCTTGTTGCCCAGGCTGGAGTGCAATGCCGTGATCTCGGCTCACCGCAAACTCTGCCTCCGGGTTCAAGCGATTCACCTGCCTCAGATTCCCAAGTAGCTGGGATTACAGGCGTGTGCCACCACGCCTGGCTAATTTTGCATTTTTAGTAGAGACGGGGTTCCTCCATGTTGGTCAGGCTGGTCTCGAACTCCTGACTCAGGTGATCCGCCTGCCTCGGCCAAAGTGCTGGGATTACAGACTAGAGCCACTGCGCTTTCGTCTCTTTACCATGAAAAAGGAAGGGAGGGAGGGAGGGAGGAAGGGACGGAGGGAGGGAGGGAGGGAGGGAGAGAGGGGGAGAGGGGGAGAGGGAGAAGGGGAAGGGGAAGGGGAGGGGGAGGGAGACGGGGAGGGGGAGGGAGATGGGGAGGGAGACAGAGAGAAAGAAATATTAAATCCCTGTTCTTTTACTACATGGGGAAACCTCGGCTCAACTTGTTCGCCTGTAAAATAGGGATAATACAAGTCTTTACGCCACACTTTCCATGATGAAATTAAAAATGAAGTTCTTCCGTCAACTTTAAAGTGATGAAGTAACGGAGCTCAGAGCGGGCGCAGGCATCGCCGCTGAGGAGCCCGAGGCTAGGCTCTCGGGGGAAGGGCCGGGCGACCTCCCACCCTGGCCAGGGCAGGCCCCGCAGCAGCGAACTCGGCTCCTTCCGTCATCGCCCCGAGCTCCCGCCTGCCCAGCCCCCAACGCCCAGCAACCCAGATAAGCGCTAAGGTTCGGGCTCCTCAGCCCAGACCATTGGCGCCGCCCCGAGGGCCCGAATCCTGTCAGGCTGCCAGGTTCCAAGCCCGCGTGCAGCCCACCTCGTGGGGTGTCTCCTGGACCCCAATCCAGGAATCAGGCGTGGGGAAGTTTATCCCGGAGTTAGAGGCCCAAGGCCTGGGGAGAAGCAAGACCCCTCCTCACCTGAAACCAGTAGGCCGCGGCCTGGCTCGCGAGCCCGCCGAAGACTCTCTAGTTACCTCAGCAGAACTCCGAATGCACCTACGCCAACGGCCACTTCCGGAGCCGCTCAAGCTCCCGCCAGAGCCGCCGGCAGGTAAGCTCCTATTGGACAGAAGCCCTAGGCTGTGGCCAATACTCACTCTTCTTCTTCAATGGGTCCCCGCTAGCTGAAGCAGCGGCGCGCTCATTGGTTAGTTGTTTATAAACTGACGAGGCGGGACCGCTCTCGAGGAAGCCTCCTACAATTGGCAGCAATCTACGTCCGTCACCTTGTGCCCGCCCCGGAAAAATAAAAGGTTTTTTTTTTTTTTTTTTTTTTCCCAGCGCGTTTTATTTGAACTTTCGGGCGGGAGAAAGTTATATGATTTATCGATCCATTTTGGAATGGAGATGAAAATATTAAAACTGTGACTCCTGCTGCTTGTCCCTAACGCTTTAGTGAAGGAGTTATCTGTATCCAAAGGATAGTAGTTAATCGAATAATTTCTAAATATTTCAATATTTTGAATTTCGGAGCCTGTAAAAAGGGTAGGACAGTCCAGTTCATATGTATCCTCTCATGGGGTTGAAGAGCTCACTCAAAAGACTTTGCCTACACAGTCTCTTCAATCTCAAACAGCTGTAATGGATCTGAGCTACTAAACAGTCTCAAGTCACTTGGCCAGGGCCGCCGCTCGCCGCCAGCGCCAACAGCAACGGGCCCCTGGAATTCTCCAGCTACGAGAGCGCGAGCCCACAGGCGTCTCGACTCCGGGCCCGCCGCCGACAGGAAAGCCACAAAGAAAACTGATAAACCCAGACAAATGATAAAGACAATCTAGATGTAACAGAACTCATTAATGAAGATCTTTTGGATCAGCTTGTGAAATACGGAGTGAATCCTGGTCCTATTGTGGGAACAACCAGGAAGCTATGTGAGAAAAACCTTTTGAAAGCGAGGGAGCAAAGAACAGAAACAAGATCTCCTCTGCCAACAATTTCTTCTTCAGCAGAAAATACAAGGCAGAATGGAAGTAATGATTCTGACAGATATAGTGACAATGAAGAAGACCCTAAAATAGAGCTCAAGCTTGAGAAGAGAGAACCGCTGAAGGGCAGAGCAAAGACTCCAGTAACCCTCAAACAAAGAAGAGTTGAGCACAACAAGAGCTATTCTCAAGCTGGAATAACTGGGACTGAATGAACAAGTGGATCTCCAAAAGGCAGACCTCTGCAGGCATTATAAACTAGGGAATCTACAAGAGAGTCAAGAAGAACTCCAAGGAAAAGAGTGCACACTTCAGAATATTTTCGTATAGATGGTGCAGTAATTTCAGCGAGTACTCCCATAGCTGAAACTATAATGGCTTCAAACAATGAATCCTTAGTTGTCAATAGGGTGAATGGAAATTTCAAGCATGCATCTCCTATTCTGTCAGTCACTGAATTCTCAGACATACCCAGAAGAACACCAAATACACCATTGACAAGAGCTGAAGTGGGAGAAAAAACACAGGAAAGAAGGGTAGAAAGGGATATTCCTAAGGAAACGTTCCCCTGTGAAGCAGCTACACCAACAAAAATTAGTGCTAGTTGCCGCAGACCAATCAAAGGAGCTCCTGGCCAAGATGGCAGGATCACTTGAGCCCAGAAGTTGAAGACTAGCCTAGTCAACACAGTGAAACCCTGTCTCATAATAATAATAATAAAAATCAGCCATGATTTTATTCATCAGAGATGATTACTAGAATACAAGATCCAAATGTATTTTTATTGCTGTCTTCTCAGTGACTGAAACAATGGCTAGCACATTTGCTGTTGAATGATTTAGAATGAGTTCTGAAAAAAATGTAACTTTAGAGGCAGGGGTTAGTGTATCCTAGGCAAAGCACACACCATGAACAAAAGTATAAGAAATCTAGGCCGGGCGCGGTGGCTCAAGCCTGTAATCCCAGCACTTTGGGAGGCCGAGACGGGCGGATCACGAGGTCAGGAGATCGAGACCATCCTGGTGAACACCGTGATGAACCGCGTCTCTACTAAAAAATAACAAAAAACTAGCGGGCGATTATCAGAAGGCTTATAAATATATTACATTCTTTCCTATAAAGCCACGAATTTAATCGTTTTGGTTAAAAGGGCAACAAAAAGATAAACCTTCCTAATGTGTATAAGCAACCTAAATTTTTAT